AATCACATAGAATGATGCCACTTGTTGATCTGCAGTATTTAGAGACAAGAATACTATTGATGGTATACTATAAAGTTATATATATCTACGCTGGTGAGCTCCCATCAGATAAGTTAGGGTGCGAACTTATAGTTTGCTAGCTCCTCCATGATAATAGACCTTATAAATGCTTTTACCTCCACTAAGTGGGAGGTAGCTCACCACACTTCCTCTGAGAGATAAAAGTACATTACATTTGCCATGCATAATTATACACACCCAGGTAGTCAATGTGCTAGAAGTTTAGATCTTCAGGTACTTACCTGAATCAATTGTTTGACTGTTACACTTGATTATTTACTAAGTAATATATACATGTAATATATTTATTGCTCACATACCTCAGAGTAAGGCTCCTACACATGTAGGCAATATTCATGTTACTCTGTTAATCCAGTTGCAGTTACCCAATGCACGTTTGTGTCCCTGAGACTTCAGCTAGACCCTGTACACGTGATACAGAATCCAGAGCCTTGTAATGTATTTTCCTACTTTCCTTTTGCCAAGAAAGTAGATTATATAGATGTAAAGTGTGTCTTCATTGGACACACAGGAAAGAGCCTTAGTCAATGCATGCATTCATGACCTTTAGACTGCCTTTACTCTTTAGCTTAATAGATCATTTTCTGGTACCCACACAGATTGTTTGGCTTTGCCAAGTCCTCCCATCAGCCTTGGTCCATCTGTCTTAGGTAATTAAATGACCTCCATTACCCTTAGTTGCTGAGCTGAAAAGTAGACCAGGTAGAAGTTTGGCCCACAGGGGAAATGGGGGTATCAGGCAAATGAGCTACTGCAAATATGAGGCACTAGGGCAGCTCAGCTGGATGTGGATGCAAGTTGTTTTGACCCAAGACAAAATGATTCATTTTAGCAGACCATATCTTTCAGTCTGGGTTTAGCTGAACTGAACGGTAGTATTGTGTGTTGATTTTTCTGGTGCACAGTTACATTTCAATGCGTTCAGAATTCCCCTCTGAAAAAATCTGATTTTGCAGAAACTCCTTTTTCCATCAATATTTTTAATGGACAATTCATGAACATAGTCCTGAGCTATTTTACATGTTTGTTAACACTTTGAAGAAATGCACTAATTCTTAGTGCTGACATCAGCTCTCTAAAGTCCCTTGAATCCTAAATAAGTGTGAACTTTAGGGTTTATTTTCTGGTGTGTGAGTTTGTGATGGAGCAGTGGTTGCAGCGGGGGTTGTGCTTGCATCCTCAGGTGCCAGCTGGGGATGGGGAGAGGATACCCCTCCTTCCTCCACCTCCTCCCTAGCCTCATGTGTTGTGTTGCCTCCCCCTGTCCCTCAAACCGTAGCCCAGCACTTTGTCCCTGCCAGCTGTGCAGCCCTGGGCTCTGTCTGTTTGGGTCTCAGGCTTGGAGTTCAGGGGGGATTGCCCTGAGATAATGAAGGCCACAAATAGGTCCTGCACTTCCCTGTCCCTGGTGGTGACCTGGAGTCGAGGTGCCGTGCTGAGAACAAACATGCAATGGGCCAGGCAGAGCTGGGGAGGAATAACCTGAAGGGGGTGACTCTTAAATTACATGTTATATTCTATTATATATTAATACAATTAATGAATAACATATTGATTAATAATATATGTTTATATTATAATATTCATGATACATGTACATTCATTTTTTAAATAGGGTGCTGCTAAATTCTGAAAACATGTGGAGGGGTGCCTTGAGTCTAAAAATGTTGTGAACCACTGGTCTCTAAGGTGCATCTCTACCCTGCCTTATTCCCAAACAGTCACTAAACTGAACAAAATTCTGATTGCCATGTTGATTGGGTGAGGCAATTCTGCACATTCCTGGTATTGGAAAGGCTGGATGGCTATTGCAGACAGTTCTCAGGTTATTTATCCAGATATATAAAGGTGAACTTTGGTTGTGCACATGTTTCTGTGCATGGGCACTCTGTGAATTCCTCCTGTTATTTTGCTTTGTTGTTGCAGCAGCCCCAGGGAGCCCCAGCTGGGCTGTGCGAGGCACTCTGCAAACTAACAAGACAGTCTCTGCCTCTAAGGCTAGGGACAGAAGTTACACACACACAGTTTAAGTGATCAGAAACTGGTTTAAACCTGTAGCAGAATAGAAGCTCAGTACACACAAACCAGTTTCACAATGGCTGGAACTGGTTTAAGATAAGCCTAGTTGAATGTAGTAGCAGACTTAACTGATTTGGGTCAAACTGGTTTAAGAAACTTCTGTCTCAGCCCCCTTTCCTAATTCAAGTTAAATCGCAATCCCCCAGCATGCTTTCCAGCCCTGGCCTGGGCTGGCCTGTACTGTCTGCCTGAAAACACAGGGCTGGTCTTGCCCCTCTGCTCCCTAGTTTGAGCAGTGTGGGCTGGGTGACAAGGGGGAACAAGCCCGGTTAGGGATGCAGTCCAGTCTACATGGGGGGGGACTGCTCCCCCAAGCAAACCCTGACTGGGGTCTGGGAGGGGAGTTAAACACCCCTTCCCCTGCTCAAACTTACTGCTGGCTGCAGCTGTGGACTACAAATCCCAGAGGCACCTGGAAGCAGGAAGAGGAAGCGATGAGCAACCCTGCAGAGTCCTGCTGCTGGGAGTCTGGACCACAAATCCCAGAGACCTGGTGGGCAGCAGGAAGAGGAAGTGAACACAGCCAGAGAGTTGTGCTCTAGTGTACCCTGGCTTCTGGCCTGAGCCACTGTAGGCATGTGGCTGCATTTCCTGAATCAAAGGGAAATGTCTGCTCCCTTCCATTTCAACTTAATCTGTGCAGGTTAGACTAACCTGCAAACACTGAATTGATTCAGTCTCGGGCTTTTTGACTATTTGTACCTCACCTAAGAGACTACAGTGTGTTTTTTTTTAGCCAGCAGAGGGTAGGTAGGAGTTAGCCCATGGCTTAAGTGGAGTGGGACTTACATTACGAGACTCCATTTTTATGAGGTTTCTGCTTTCTTGGACCTTGTGCTTGTGCACTCCTGGCATTTAATACTCAGTCTTCTCAATAGGTCCAGCACACAGCTTTTTTAAAGGAAAGATTGTTTCAATTTTAGTTGTTTTTTAATTATCATCACCTTCAAATTTCCATTTTTTGTGGGTCAGAAGATAGGGCCAGAAGAAAGTCCTTTGGCCAGATTTGTCCTTCGGGTCCACAGAGTCACACACGCACTGATGTGGCTTTTTAATGTGTTAGGTGTCAAGTCAATAGAGAAAGAAAGCTTTGTCCTTTGGGGTCTCTCTCTTTTTTCTTCTGTATATTTTTTTCTTACAGTTTTGCAGCCAAATACAATTGCAGATAAAATGCAACGAAGTTCTGTATGACAGGTTAAAAGCAGCTCTTAAATGAGTGTGTGTCATCGCTGAGTCAGCTGGGCCCCCTGCCGTGCTCTGCTTTTGTTATTTTAAAAAAAGCTGGTGAGCATTAAAAAATCTGCTTGTATTAAATATTAGGAAGGCTCTGTCCAGTACATTTTGCTTACTAAAGTTGACTGAAGATGTATTGTTGTCTGCTTCATGTGTTACGTCTGGTAAATAGCTGGTTGCTGGGGCAACCGCTTAAAAAGGTGGAGGGTCGTTGGTACCACATAAAGTCTTTAAACAAAACACGAATGTAGCAAATTCCAGCATTAGTTTGAAAGAAAGGATAAAAGAGGAGGAAAGGGCTCAGACAGCTTTTTCCTTTTGTAAACTTGCTGCTTTATAGGGGGCAAAACTGCTAAAATGGGATGTCCTGTGCAAAATAAAAGAGTGGATCAAAGCACTGCACTGAGAAGGGCTCTGTGTGTCGTAGTGAGACAGCCGTACCAATGTAAAGCAGAAACTCTTTCACCTTCCTGTCGTTCTGCTTCTCTTTCCTTAGGTCCAGGTTTGGAAACCATTATGTCAAAGGTAAATGATTTGCACAAGAGCACGCAGATACATTTCCCTTAAGACGGGTTAGTTCGTTGGCTGCGTCTTTCCATAATGCTCTCCACGCCTGCTTCTTTATGCATTCTCATTTCCGCTTCCACCTCTGACAGCTTGCTTCCACCATGGGCTGAAATTGTAGATGGCGGCACCTGCCGATGAATTAGAGGTATATGGCTTTTCAGTGGCTTTATTCCTCCTGTGGTTGCTTGCTCACATCCCATATCGGTAGGTAACTAGCTGCATTGGACAGAGAGGAACTGCATCATTATCTCTGAGGCTAGTAGCAGCATCCTATCCGTTAGGCAATGGTTACTTTGTCATTATGATCATTTGCTCATGTTGGTGTCTTCTGCTGAGAAGTTCTTACACTTCTGAAGTCTAGGTGTGCTGGTGCTGAGCTGAATTTCCTAGCTTCTCAAGTAATGAATCACTGAGCATTTTCCAGCTCCCTCCACGCATGGGGCAAAATCAGGCCTCCACCCATATTCCACACCCACTTACTCACGCTTGTGGATCTGGAAGGAGATTCCCCCAGAAGGGGAGTGGCGCTGTGCAGTGTACTTTCCCCCTTGGACCCAGGCTGGTGATGTAGTTACACTGTGCATGCACTGATTTCTATTGCCTAGGAGTGGTGGGGGATAAGGCACTTTCTTGTTGCCATGCACACTCTTTTTAAAGTATCTTCTGCCCATGCAGAAGATGCTTTAAAAAGAGACAGATATTTGGCTGGGGTGGTATGACCGCGGCACCCATTCCTGCCTAGGGCAGGGCGTCGGACCTGATGATCTGTTTAGGTCCTTCCGATGCTAAGCACTATGAAACTATGCCCTGGCTGCCAAGTGACCAAGGGAAGACTCTTCTCTTTGTTGGCCCATAATCCCCCCTGATGTTAAGGGAGAACCCATTATCCTATATTATTTTCTCTGCAGCCTTTCCCCTGTTAACATCACCTTTACATTCTTGCTGCTGGCTGGATAAAAGGGTTTTTCTGCTCTCTTTGAGGTCTCCATTCATCTTACCCCCTTGCTCTATAACCCCACTGTTTTCCTTTCTTCCTAAAGGGAACTTGGGGTGTGCTTCTGCTTGGCTCCTCCCTGCTCTTCCTTGTGGAACTGTGAGTGGGGGGATCCCATCACGCTAATCCTGTTTGCTCACCACTCCCTGCAGCGTCTTACTCCAGGTTGGTTTTGCATTTTTTTTCCTAAGTCATGCCAAGGACTATAGTTGACACCAAACTTCTGGCAGCAGGTTTCACCAACTGAACTGGCAGTATGGGAATGATGTGAGCACTTTCAGGAAGTGGCTTTAGTCAGGGAAGGATTATTCTTGCTTCCCCGACTTCTGAAATAACACAGATATGCTTCTGGGTTTTTGGTTGTAGCCATGTTGGTCTAAGGACGTAGGCAGGCCAGGTTCTTTGAATAGTTGTGATCTCTTTTATTATACCAACTGAGTAGTTGGAAAAAAGTTCTTGGCAAGCTTTTGCATGCAGTCACCCTTCTACACGCATAGGGAGTCTCTGCTGTTCTGAGACTCCAAGAAATGAAAGAAGCTAAAAGTATGGCAGGATGTTAACAGGGGAAAGGCAGCAATAATAGAAAATAATAAGGGAGAACCCATTACCCTATAACATCGGGGGGATTATGGGCCAATAAAGATATCACATCTACTCAGAGAACCTTTCCTACAGATATGCTTTGCATTTAGTGCGTCTTACTAAAACATGAAATAGCTGTACCTTTCAGTCACAATAAACCCATCTCCACACACTCCCCCGCACCCCAGTCCTAAAGAAAATGATGAAACTGTTGACCAGTAAAATGCACTTTGTGTCCCAGAGAAATCCATATGGTCATTTTCTACTGCTTGCATCAGGAAAGAAGATAATCTTTATCGCTAAGATTGTTCCCTAAGTGCCCATTTGTCATAGGTGCAGTCATTGAAAAATCAGTAGGAAAAGATTTTGTCTAATGGTTGTCCTGATCCTTAGAATAGATTGTAACCAACTAATAATTACTCATTATGACATTTGACCACTTAGACTGTAACAAACAAACCAGAATTGGGAGTAAATGGTTGGAAAGAAGTTTTGTTTCAGAAACGTCATCCTGCACTGAATGTACAGCATGATATAGCTGTGCATTTAAGAGGTACGGGAGATTATGGAGCAAAATTGTGGTTGTAGGTGGTGAACATTCATGAGCATCCATTCATTTGCCAGGTCTTGCAGTGTTTGGGAAAAGCAAAACACTGCACTAGTTTTATTCTCTAATGCCTTCTGTTTCTTTAACTACGGTGTTCTGAAAATGGAAATGTCCTCCTGTCTAACCTTAATGTACTTTTTGGAAAGACAAGAATGCTGGCACTTCTCCTCTGAGATGTAGAGCGAGCCAGCAATTCATTTCATATGAGCCACCGGAGGTGGAAAAGGTGCCTTTGGATTATGACCACAAGGAGCTAGTATGATTGTTAGCACCAAATAAACGCAGAAAGCCTTGAGTATGTGTGTCGATTTTAAATTCAGAACATAAAATGAAGGCTAATTCAAGGATGCAACTTTAATCTGTACGGCTGAGAATTTCACAGCCTCGTTGGCAGAAGGCAGGGCAGGGTGGCACCTTAGAGCAGGGGTGGGCAATTATGTTGACTAGATGGCTGGTTAATGAGTTTTGGTAAGCTGTTGAGGGATGCAAGGGTAACCCTGCCCCTTGACAGGTGCCCTGTCCCCTGGTCATCATCTTGGGACCAGAAGTCCCACCCCCTGACTTTTGCCACCGCAAGTCCCTCGCCTTGTCCCCAGAACTTTTTTTTTGTGGTGGGGGGGAGAGGGGGCATCTGAATCAGAAAAAAAAAACCATATACTAAACATCAAAAATCAGCACAGGCCATGAATGCCCCGAGGAGCCCCGCCTGCTGTTGCTGCTACCACTGGTGGCAGCAGGGGCTATGCACCATGGTGGGGGGGAGTTTGTGGAGGGTCCCCCAACCCTTATACCCATACCCTACCTGCCCAAGCTCCATGCTCCCACTGCCTCCCTGGGTATGGGCTCCATCTTCCTGCCATCCCCAGCCCCACAATCCCTGTCCCCACCCAGCTGTAGCTCCCACCACCCCTGCCGCAGCTCCCCCTGCTCCTGCCAGGAGACAAGGAGGAGCTGCTGGAGCCTGGGAAAACTGAACAGGTTCCCCCATGGCTGCAGGAGTGGCAGCAGTGGCCCCTCCTGGAAGCTTTGTGCTGGCTTGGCCAGGCCCTTCCACACACCACGGTGGGAACGAGGCAAGTGGGCTGGGTGGGGTACAGTTAATCAGTGGACACCTGTGGGCCTGATCCAGCCTGTGGGCTGTATTTTGTCCACCCTGCCTTAGGGACTACTTCATCCAGAGAGGCATAAGCTTTCATAGGCGACAGTCTGCTCCGTTAGCCTGGTTGATGCTTGAACAGCCAAGGGTTATGTGTTTGGATGACAAAAGTCAGTTTAATCACAGAATATTTTACATGTCTTATCAGTAGATGATATCCTGTTCATTCTTATCCCGGTCAGTTCATGTTAATTAACCCATACTGTGCAGCTTTCTGAATTTGAAGTTTGCCACATTAGAACACTTTTGAAGTTTAATGCATTTCCTTATTAAAATCAATGGTGAAAGTAGGCCTGCCTTTTATTTGAAGAAGTTGTGCCAACTCTGCCCAGATAATTTGTTAAACAGTTTGAAGAAAGAGCCTCATTAAATGAATATGGAGTCTCTGACTTGGAGCCAAGGCATTGGCCAGGAAGTGTGTGGAAGCTCCCACTGTGCTTTCCTCTGCCCCACACACCCATTTTGTGCATCAAGAAAGAGGTGTAGATGCCAGGAGCTGTCAGTTGTTTCTCACCACGTTGTGCTTGGTTATGCTCGACAACTAGCCAAGTAAGGGATCTCTTACCTAGAGATGGGCCTGAACCGATGCTCCCAACCCAAAATAACATGACTTCTGTAGCTATCCATGTCTGGATCTGCTCTTCATAGCTTTGGCCTGTCTACTTTTGTTGTAATTGTTGAGCTTGTTCAAATGATCTCCCTCATTTTGGTAAGAAATGGTTAACAGCCCAGTGTGGTGACTCAGACAATGGCAGATGGGCCCTTCTGCAAATGGTGTGGGTTTGAGGAGGTTCAGTACCAAGTATTTGAGCCCTTAGTCTCCAACTCTCAGAGTTGATGTTGGGGATGAATCTAGAGCAGCCTCACAGGCAGTCTTCTTCCTCCGAAGCATGTCAATGCATTTGAAATGGTAGGGAGGCTCAGTCCCATTTACCCTAAGACCTGCCACTGGTGCTGTATAGACAAGCCACATAGAATATCCCCTTCACTTCCCTCAGCCCACATAGATTCAGATGTGGGTGGTCCTGACCATGGGTGAAGTAACAGGAGCAGTAGAGTTGGCTAATTGAGTAGCTCCCTGCTGGCTCCTCCAGAGTTTCTGGTGGTTGTTACAACCACCCTTCTTCGCTGCAACCTTTGAGCCAAACAACCCCTGCTAGTGCAAGAAGAGTAGTTTACATGTGTGTCAACCCAGCTGAATCTAGATCTGGATATGCAGTTATACGGTGTCTGTAGATAATACCCTGCATGGCCACTGTATAAAGCGTGAATCTTTGTATCTATCTACATATTGATAGAAAGGCCAGAGTAGGTTCAGTGGGATTTGTATGGGCTATACTGTGTAGTAAAATCTGTCTTCTCCATGGCTGCTTTGGGCGCAGAACACTGCACAGCTTTTAAGCTGTTCTGAACAGCCCGATACAGCGAATTGTGTATTTATGCATCGTGGTAGATCCATTTGCTAAGTAAATGGAGTTCTTTGATGCCCTTTCTTGTTCTGTGTCCTGTGTGAGACTGGATGAGAGAAGGAGGAAAGGACTTCTAAGGAGAAAATACATGTTTGCTTTTCTGTTTATCAAATTGACAGCTGTTTGGTTTTTCTTGTGTCTGCCCAGGAAACCAAATCCTGTCTCCTGGAACTTCTGTTGGAAATGGTCTAACGCCAGAAGCTGCAAAAGACCTTGGTCTTCCTTGTGGGATTGCAGTAGCAGCATCTCTCATTGATGCACATGCTGGAGGACTAGGTATGCTGTTTTTGTACTTGGAAATAGAGATGTTACTGAGATTCTATATTTATGGAAAATATCCCTTTTCCACAAAGCTTCATGTGTTACAAACGCCAGTAGCTAAGCAGCACGCTGACCTATTCTTACAAAGTAACATACTTTTTAAAAACCCCTCTCTCATGAATTAGTCATTCAGAAAAACGATGGTATGCCTATTCCACATTCAGTTATCTAGAGTTGAAACTTTTGCTGATTTTGTTGTTGTTGCCTCCACTTCGGCATTGCTAACTAGGAATGTCAAAGATCTGATGTCGGATACTAAGAGACTTCATGTCCCAATGGCCGTTCCCATCAATCAGTGCTCCAGGGGGAAAAAAACCCAGTTATTAAATGAAGTGCTTGGCCACAGACTGTGGGGCTCAGACAGGAATCAGTAGGTGACATGTCATAGATAAGGAAACAAAACAGAAACTGCTGAAAATTCCAGTAAATAGTCTGGAGAAACACTATAGGCGGGGGATGTTGTACATATATTAGTATCTGAACATATTAACTTATTTACTATATCATCCACAGCCATTTTGTAATGTTTTGGTTCTTCTAAATGTTGTATATCCATTAAAAGAAGCACCTGTGTACAATACTATGTTTGTTCGAATTGCAGTAGAGGGAATATGCCCTGTTTTGCTTCAAGTCTCAGAAAACAAGAAACACTAGGAGTCATGCATAGTCAAAATGGATTTCTGTTAGTAAGATGCACCTTCTCTACTAATAAGCACTTAATAACATCTGCAGTCTGCAAACACAAAAATAGAGAATAACTTCATAGTATTGGTCATTAAATAGCCATGTCATAAAACTTACATTGAGCTTTTCTTATCTTTGAGGGTGTGTAGAATCTGGGTGATGTATTTTGGTGTTCACCCATCCCAAATTTGGTTTCACATTGAAAAGCCAGCTCACATATACCATTCATTTTTAGGCAAACCAAAGTTCAGTTTTGAGCAAATCTGGAATGATTGGTATGCACATGTCACAGATGTCTAAACCTATTCCGTTCTGCATGATGTTGCTTCAAAATCCAGTGGGAATCAGCACTTCCATCTGGATTTGTTCAGGCTGTCAGTTTAGAGCGAAATTCAAGGAGTAAATCCACATCAGAAAGAAAAAGGAAGCACTGGACACACTCCTCTGCAATGATGAAGTAGCTGAATTTCTTTCTCTCATATAAGGAACTAACAGAACCCTTAATTCTGGGTTTTTGAGTTAGTGGAAGTAATGGCAATATCTATTTTCATGAGTTCTGCTAAAAAATGAAAATATATTTGTAGTTTTCAAGTTCACACGTATTTCCTGTTGGTGATCTGGGTTCTGGACATTGGACATTGTAGTGCATTGTACGGCATTTTCAAAAGCTTCATTTTACCTTCATAAACTGTTATCTGTATGTCATTGTGTAACCTCTGCTCTAACAAACCGGCTAGAGTCATTCTTCATGAAAATATATGGACTTTGATAGAACTCCTCCAGAGATGAGGAAATGAATTTCCCAATACATTTGCTATTTTGTTTCTTGCTGCTCTTTATAGACCTAAGTTCTCAGCGTTAGCTATCCAGCATCGTCCGATTTGCTGAAATATATCTGTGATCCTTGGAACCAGCAAAAAAGATGGCAGCAACATTTAACTTGAGGGCATTTTCCTCCTCTGAGATCCATATGGTTCAAGAAGATTTTAAGTTTCTTTGTTGTTAGTTGGAGTTTACATAGAGAAAACAGTGGTTTCGGTGTCTTATTCCACCCTGTTATTCTGATAGGACCGCCTTAACAGGCTTTGCTTGCTTGTTTGTTTTTCCACTTTGAATTTAGCAAACAAATTCTGAGCAAAACCACATCTGTAATGCAGAAACTTCAAACACTTCCCAGAAGTCTTGTGCCCAACTTCTGTGCAAAGTATATGGGTGCTTTGGAGCAACCTCAGAGGAGACATGAGTATGCATAGAGGTTTTCTCGATGCCCTGGGATAGGAACAGGTTCCTTACCTGAGTGGCTGATAGCTTATAAATATCTGACAGGAGCTGGGAAATGGTGTGGGCGGGTGGGGGGTAGGTATAGAGGAAAGAGCATCTCGGTGACTTCTGTTGTAGAAAGGATGGTAGAAGAAAACTCCCTGGCCCCAACAACCTCCTCTCTTTCCATAGCTGAGCTGCACAAGGCTTACTGCTGCTCTAGTAGTGCAAAAGCTTGCGCAGTCCTGGTGGAAGGGAGATTCAGGGACTGGGATACAAGCAGGGGTATTGACGGGAGGAGGAACTCATGGAAATAAGCATCCTGCTCTGGCAAGCTGGCCTGTTCAGTTTAGGGCTGGATTTGCAAAAATAGTATAGGTGCTTACAGTCAAGTTTAAGCACCAATTGGGATTTGCAAAGTGCTTTACAAAGATATGTGCCTAGACTCCCATTGGCTTTCACTGAGAGTTAGACACCCAACCTATTTCAGCGCTCATTAAAATCCTCATAGGTTACCTGGCCTTTAATTAGTAGACACTTGGGTGTCAGAATTTTGACGGCAGCTAACTGCAGAGGTTTGACAGTCTCTCCCTCCCACACATGGGATGCAGGCAGAAGTAACAACGGAAATGTTTCAAAGGACCAGCTTGTAACAGGGAACCCTGCCCTGTCACTGAGAGTGAGAAAGTGAGGACCGTGCCCTTAAGGCAAGCTTTTGAGAGGCCCGAAGAGGCAGTTGTGGAGGTATATGAGCCCTGCACCAGGGGCAGATGGGGTCAATCTGACTGGGACAGAGCTGAGGGAAGCAGTGCTGGGAACCGGACCCTGGCTTAAGCTGTGCGAGCAGAAGAAGCTCCTTGCATAAAGCAGAGAAGCAGGACCAGAGACTAAGGGAAGTGTGAGTCGGCCCAGAACAGGCAGAGCTGGCTCTGCCCGTTCTGGGCCGACATCAGGGGTGTCAGCCCAGTTTCCTGAACAGACCCTGTTACTTCTGCATGGAGACAGGGGCCAGACATAGGTGTCTCCTACCCCATCCTTCCTGCCCAGCACCTGCCAACTCCTGTCCTCCTGCCATCCCTGCTGTTGCTCAGCTCTCCATCCCCAGCCCTCTCTACCCCTCCCCTCCAAGGGGGGAGAGGAGAATTGGGAGTGCAGTAGCAAGGTCCCCTCTACTCTTGTCCTTTTGGGGGGATAGGGGAGCAGAACCACAGGTTGCATGCTGCAGCCTCCTCTACTGCTTCTGGCTGGTGCTAGAGGAAACCACAGCATTTTGAAATGTTTCAACTGAGGAATGCCACAGGGGCTGCACATATGGCCCCTGGCTAAAATTATTCTATTTTGAAATGTTTCCAAGTGTGTTTCACTTAAAAATATTTCAGAAGTTATTGTCTGCTCCCTGAGAGAGAGAGAGAGAGAGAGAGTGCACTTCACTAATAATCCAGAAAGGTTCTGTGTTTGGTCTCAAATTATGGGAGGCGGGAGTGTTTCTGCGCACATATTTGTTTCAGAGATGAAGCAATGCCCTACCAAAGGCTGGGAGCCCTAAAAACCTCTTCAGCTACTTTGTTCTTCTTTTATTGTAGTATGTTTGGCGTTAACCTTTGTGACCAGTCAAGAGACCTCAAGGATGGATGTGATACCAACTGTTCTGTTGGTATCAAAAATGCAAAAAACTCTTTTAAAGTCAGCAAGATACAGTAGAACATGGTTCTGCCTCCTCTTATTCATTTACTTTAGGATAGTGCCTGTAGACTCATTGAAGATCAGAGCCTTGTCATGCCAGGATGTGTAAAGACATGCAATGAGAGATTATCTCCTACAGACTTAGCATGCAAAGTACAAAAGACAGACAACATATAAGTGGGAAACAGAGAGGAGATGCACCTTCACCATCTACCTTGTGGACTTGTCTATTATTATCTGATAAGTTGCTAAACTCACTGTTCCACACTAAGGACACTTCTATATGTGACAGTTGTCATGATGTACACATGACAAAAATATAATTTGTGTTGCTTAATGGCATCACACATCACACGTGCACCAGTTCTGGGGGTTTTAAATGACTTTGCATCATTGCAAACTAAACTACATCTGGATGTATTTTACTTCGCAGTGTTGCAAAGTGCAATGATACAGCTGTCAGCTCGTGGGACTAGTAAGGGGAGGTGGAGATCCCAGTGGTGCCTGGAGGCCACTTGACTGCTTTGAGCCCCACCTGGGACTGGGTTTAAGGCACTAATAGACGAGGATTGAGAGACCAGGGCTGTGGGGCCCAAAGCTGAAAAAGGACAAGATGGGCTGGAGCCCGAAAGCCAGGTCTGACACAATGAGCCTAGGCTAAAGAGTTCAACTAGAGAAAGGGGGCAGAGGCCAGGAAGGCTGAGGCCCCAGCAAGAACATAGAGACCTGGAGAGGTGTGGTACGGGAGTGCCCAGTTAAATGATTAATTGGTAACACCTGTGAGGCATGGCTGCATGGGGAGATTGGAGGTCACAAAATTAGTCCTTAAGGCAACTATTGCCCCAGGGCACAGACGGACCTGGAGGGCCCACTGAGCATTTGAGGGTGGGACAGAGATCAGTGTGGTTTGGGAAAAACCCAGCAACAGCTAATGGGTCAGGACTCGCTCTCGGACCCCGGGCAGCCTTCCTTCATCCCAATAACAATAAAAGCAAGTCATGGCAGGTGAGAACATAAAACAGGGAGGGTGCCCAGAGCTAGAGCTGAATGCGTCACACAGCCATCAGGGGGCATCCTGGCTGCCCCTGGAGCCTGGTCCTGTTACAGTCATTAGTAAGAATATCAGACGCTGCCGCACTCAGAACAGGCCCCTGTTGCATCCCGTGTGAAACTCGGGTCACTGATATTGATGGAGGCAAATAACTATTTGGTATAGATATTTTAGCACTCCAGGGTGCAGTATCATGTTAATACAGGAGCCCTCATCCATGCAGTTGCATATGTAATGCCACAGTACAATAAATGGCAGATTTTTGGAAGCAGTTTGGCGTTTTTGCTATTCATTAGGTATCTGTGTTGTAGTTATAGGAGCAGTTTTATTCCCATCATTGTAAACCCCTTATCTATCCAGGTTCTTGGCAACCACTACACTAATTGGCTAAGTGATGTGAATGTGGGTCCATAAATACACATGTAAAATTATATGCCCTTTGAACTTTGTACTCTGACTGCAAAATTAGAAACCACCTTTCAAAGTGAGGTCCTCAGTCTCAATTTGTACTTCACATTAGCATAGGTGTTTTTCTCTTAAAGTATTCCAGTCACTAAGTAAAAGATAAGCTTCTTGATAACAAGCGAATTCTCCCTTCAAGACACAAAATATACACTCAGATCTTTTGCTATAAACATATATCAGTTAGCCTCTGAAAGGCTTAAAACATGATTGTTTAACTAGTGAATCTCTCCATCTCATCTTCCTCGGTTCATACTGTGTGTGTGTGCGTGTGTATGCATGTATGTATACATGTGTGTATGTATGTGTGTATATGTATATATATGTATATGTGCATATGTATATATGTGTGTGTGTGTGTGTATTTTATATATAATATGTGTGTATGTATATGTGTTTATATATATATATATATATATATGTATGTGTATATATATATATATATGTATGTATATATGTATGTATATAAAATAAAGCAATGCATTCGTATAAACATGGAGAATTATTTGCTGCCTCCAGTCTCTTGATAGTCAGATGGTGTAGTTTGCATTGAAAATGGCCTATTCTTTTGAGCATTAAGAGTTCTTCTGAATTCAACAAGTTACTACTTATGTGTGGGGGAAAAAACGTTGAACTGAAAACGATCCAGGGGAACTTTGCACTAATTCATATACTGTAAGAATTAGACCTTGGTGTAAACAACACTTACTGTCCATGTTCCCAACTACATAAAACTTCAACAAATAAATGTGGGTGAGATGCAATGTTTCATTCATATTCCAGGGATCATCTTTTGTTAGAACAATATTCAGGTCCATGAGTGTATAAAAAAGGCACCCTGCTATTTGCTCTCCGATCGATTCATATGAGGTCAGTAATAAGAGAGTATGGATTGATCTGGGTAGAGGAAATTAATTCAGTTTCTTAGAGAATTTAGGTATTCTGAAATGTGGCTTGGTTTTAGTTAAGAACTGGTTTAAAACTATATACGAGAAGAAAGCCACAGCCTTAAGGCTGAATGCTTGGCGAGTTCTTCAGAGCCATAATCCCTGGAAGACCTGGACTTTGCAGTCCCTGGCAGGCTTGGCTCTCCAGCAGCGCACTGAGCCATCTACCAGGGAACAGGCAGGTGAGCTGGCAGGACACCAGACCTGGAAAGAGGATCACTAAGACCAAAGGCTATTTTTCAAAGATAGATAACTCATTGTCCCCTTATCTAGTGTGATGAGAACTGTGCCCATCTACTTCATCCAGGAGGCATTTGGAAACTTGAATGGCACAAGGAAAGGACAGAAAAGAATGTGAATGGAGAATCTTCAGTGGGAATCGAAGCTAATAAAAATAAGAAGGAACGTTTAATAGCATTACACTACAATTTACCGCCATTTAAATAAAAAGATGAAAAAAGTTGAAGAAACACACATACAATGGAGGCAGAAGAGAATATGGTAAATTTAGACCAGGAAATATTGAGAATAAAGATCTGTTTTAGTTGATGAAAAGGGGCACCGTGTTTTGAAAAGCTAATGTTGCATCTTTGGGTATTTTCTCCATATTTTATCATGCACTCGCTTGGTGAGAGGTACACCATAAGTAGAAGATATAACCTGAGACATATGCATACTTTAATATAGCCCATCATATAGTAACTTCGACTGGATGTCACAGTTGTTCCACCGAAATACTTTGTTCTGCCTATGTTAGTCAATGGTTTATGAAGATAAAATATTGAAAACAGGCCCTTCTCATGCTACGCACCAAGCCAAGGTGACAGGATGGCTGTCTACTTTTCATTGTTAGCAAATTGTGATGCAGAATCTATTTCTCTACTTGGCTAGGTATATTGAAGTTCAGAGTCCTGGAAACTGTGATGGATTTGAAGTGTGTGAGCTGGGTTGGGAGGAGTTGAAGAGTTATTTGATATTTACTGCGGCAGAGGTCAGAAATAGCTTCCAAACTAGTCCATCTGAAATCTGTTACTAAAACATAGAAAACTGGAAGCTGGCTAGATATATGTCCTTCGTTTGACCTGTTCCATTAATTTTAAAGAGCCTGGAGTTAAAACATCATAGGAGGTCTGACTTATACAGATGTGACCTCAGAAAGTTAGAATAAGGTGCATGCCTATTCCTTTAAAAAGGTACTACCATTCTTTTTTTGGTTTGTTTGGGGGGTTTTTTCAAACTATGTCTTGCTGTACAGTATTTTAGATAGTTTGTCAGTATGGGAAAAGGACTGAAATTGCGCCTGCTTAGCTTTTCCTGCTATCTGAGACTGACTGACGTGAAGTTTGCAAGGTATCGTAATTTTCTGTGTTGAGTCCATCCCTTTGGAGCCTTCACAAGAGACGTTTATAGCCCTCCCAGAACACAAAATAATACTGATACATGGAAAATACTCTTCTGAAAAGCACTTGGGTTTTGTCCCAAGGACTGAATTAAATGGCATGCTCTTATGATTACAGTATTATAATCAGTGTTTCAAGTTTACACCCATGTTTGCTATCTAATTTATAATGAATAGAAATGTTCAAGCTGGCTGTGACTTTTAAGTTGGAATAAACACTGACAGCAAAAACAGGAACCCAGTAAAAATCAGTGGCAAAATTCTACTAGCTGAGGATTTCATCCTAAGCAATACATATGTTCCCAGTGATTAGTGGATCCTTCACTCTGAGATGCATGAAATTTATGGGAACCATACAAAAACATGTTTACATATTGCAGTTGTGATTCACACTAATACATTTGTGTATTGTAGTGTGCAACTAGCATTGCCTTTTTTTCACATGCAACACACTTTTTCCCTGCAAAATCAGCCTCTCGGAATTGTAATGAGTATATTATGCAGGGAAGCTGATTTTCTGCCCAGGATAAAAGCACCCTGCTTTGATTTCTGCACTGCAGTGCAGCAGATGTGGCATTACTATTCAGGCAGCTGAGGGGGTCAGTTGGCGTGACGGCTCATTGTTCTTGATCGCTAATCAAGCAGTTTTTGGACAGTTTTGCTGAGTTGCTAGCAGCTCCTGGCCTCTTCTCCTATTTCACAGCCCTGAAGACTTTAGCTCTTTTTAAAAGCATAGATCCACCCATGGAGACTAGTCTTTAGCAGCAGTTGGAGTTTCAGCTTTAGTTAAGCAGGAAAGGGAGGGTGAGTTAGCTGAAGAGTACTCTCTGCCCCTGTTCGGTGCAGCCACTACTAGAAAAATCTTTTTTTCTTCATTCTGCCTTTGCTTCAGTACAATTCTAATTACAGCTGAGCCCTCTGTGTATTGCTGGGACAGAAATAAAATAACGAACGCTTAAGGAATGTCTGGTCCATCGCGGACAGGAATACATGTTTATCTGTGTGGATAAAATTAGTCTTGTTCATTGGACCTTTCTGCTTCGTGGAATCAGCATGAGATCCTTGGCAACTTGCATCCTAAAAACTTCCCATTTTATAAGAATCTTTTTTAAGATTGAATTTCCCCCTTTTTTCTTTTCTTAATAGGCATCATTGGAGGAGATGTGAAAGGACATAACCTACCCTGTGAAAATCAGCCTATTACCTCTCGGCTTGCCCTGATCTGTGGAACATCTTCGTGCCACATGGGGGTAGGTGGGGTACATGATCACTCTGGTGGTGGGGCAGCAGCTCGGGCTCGAAAGAGAAATTGAACTTTGTCTCCTCTCACCTTTTTTTTTTTTCTTCCATTCTGCTGGTAATTCTATCTTTACCTCCAGATATTAATTATATATCACCATGCATTTGCTACCAAGCAGCGGCTCTAATAGTAGTAGAAATCAATACTGGGGGTGGGGGGAAGAGACCTGAACATGAAGTGTAAAAGCAAAGTCTATGCAATGTGAGAGTGGCTGAGAGCAGCTTGAAATCTGAGCTGAAAACTCTGCACTCGAGTTATCCACGGCAATCCTGTCGCTAATGCGCTACTGAGTACTGTCTTCAGAGAACCAGTGTGCATCTTCAGTGGCAGCCCTTCTCCCCCTCACCCCCTCTCTCAATCAATATAAATCCATCTCCCTTGGAAAGCTGCAGTGATCTATAGAATTATGATACGTATCATGACTACAAAAAAACCCAGATAAGCAATTTTTACTTTGTTAATTTTTCCTGGTGAATTAACGAAAAAGCTTTTCCTGAGATTGCAATTAAAATTTAGTGTCTGCTTGTGAAATTTATACCTTTTTAAAATGTATGAGTCTGAAAGCATTCCATTTAGATAAGTACCCTTTTCTGCCATATTTTTTATTTAAAACTCATTACTCTGTTAAATTTAGACTGATTATAACCTGGATTTTTCCCAGATGAGCAAATTGTGGTGGGGGTGGATGGACAGTTTGGCAGAAATGAGCCTGCTGTCAAGGAAAGGCACCTCGGATACTGAAGAGAGGGAGACACTTAAATGTCACAGCCAAGCTTAATCATGATGCCCGTGTCTTGGCCATATATACATGGATATAGGACATGATAGCAGCATGTTATTAAGTAAATGACCCTGTCATATGCCCCAGTTTAGCAAAGCAGGTACTTCATTTTAGGCATGAAAAAGCCCATCTCTGTTAAGCAAAGCATTTAGCAAGTAATTACATCCTTTAGAAGTCTATGGGATATAATCTTGTATTCACACTTTGGAAATGTTTGAATTCCTGACAAGCCCTATTTTATATTTAAAATCCTACTACTCCTAGACCTGTTTTTCACCTGAGAAGTTTGGCTGGTGTCACTAAGTTGGTTAAAGGAGTGATTCATTTTTTCACGCTATACATAGTCTGATGCAAAGTTTATTATACCAGTGCACAGTTATACCAGTAAAAATGATCTTGCTTTTCAAATTAATCCAGTATAAGCACTTTTACGCCAATATAACTGTATGTGATCTTTGGGATGGTGTAAGTTGTCCCTTGAATGATATCGGTAATGTTAAGTGACACCATTCTCTGGCATGAAACCTTTGGTGAAGTTGATCACGATCCTAGTACATGCATAAAGTACATACATCCTAGTATATGCATAAAGTCACATGAAATCGCTAAGTAAGGGGTGGCACTTAACAGTTGCAGTCCCAATCTAAGAATAGACTCTTTTTGGTAAAATGTTAAATGTTACAACTCAGCCTTTAATAAATCTCCTCTCTGCCACTTTTTTTTTTTTTAATTCCCAAAAAAGCACCACAATTTCCAACCAACAGATAATTAGCAAATGCCAAGCTGCTGTGGACTGAATCTCTGAAAGGCCTTCGGTGTAACAACTCTTTATCTGTACCTTCTTATACTGTACCAAGTGAATATAGAGCACATAGGACCTTTGTGTGTGTGTACTTTAATGAGACGTATATGCAGCTGCAGTTGGTTGAAATTAGCTGTGCCTTTTTTTAATTAGGGCCATAAAATGAAAGTTTATTATACTCATGTTTTGATAGAAATCTATATTTTCTCTCTCTTTCTTTGTACCGAGGGACCCTCGGGCAATAGAGATTAATCATCGGGTTTAATTTAATGCAGTGGGAGAGAGACCTGTGTGGTCAGGCGGGCATTAAAAAGTGCCTTTGATCTGCCTCAGGTGCACTGAGCCCCAGTGAGCCAGCAACAATAATACCTTTGTGAGATGATCAGAGAAGAGAGGTGGGGGGGAAATGGTCTGTGTGGAAACTCAAGGCTGTCCTTTGTTGTGGTTCTGGCAAACGAAAGAGCCAACTGTCAGGAGAAATTCAGAAAACAGAAAGCAGGGTGAAAGTGTGGTGGTCAGGCAGTGCATTTCTTTCAAGGGATCTTAACAGGAAACTGTTCAAAATCATCTGCTGTTTCTTTCTTTTGGCAGGGGGGAGGGTTGCTGTTGGTGGTATATGTATATGGATAAAATATTTCCATTCTTTAGGCTGAATGCTCCATGACTTGGAGAAGTTCGCATTGCTTGAGTAGGGCATTTATTTTAAATGTAGAGAGAAACTCTGTGACTTAGCTTTTATTAACCTTGAGGAATCAAGAGAACTTGAGTAAAAGCTTTTGCCCATCATTCCTTTCATGTTTTAGAAGGTGAAAGTGGTGAACATAACGTTACAGATGGACCTAATAGTTTAACTAGCGATAAAACTACTCTTTTAAATAGGGCTAGACTTTTGGAATTAACCTCTGCCTCTCCTGGCAGTCAGATGCACAGACCCTCGCCGCTGAGAGATTTGGATGGCCCATTCAGCAGGCTGCAAAGAGTTGCATGATTAAGTCACTGGTTCAAGTTCAAGTCCAGGTTGGTAGTCATCAGATGGCATTACCATCCCAAGACTGATCCAGTGCCCATGTGAAGAATTTGATGGTTTGTCTGGATGATGGTGAATAGTTATCCATATCATGATGCCTTTTCTGAATAGCTGTCTTAACAAAAGACATTCTAGGAAGAAAGACACAGGAGCTATGCTTTTTCCCTGTAGAGGTGGTCTCTTCTTCGGGGGTGGCATGGTAGCCGTACTTATCATTTCTCCCTTCTGTCCCTTTCAAGCGGCAGACCCAACGCCTGCATTTCCCCCAAAGCAAACTTCTGTGATTCAGCCTATTTTTCGATTGGGAATCCAGGTTTCAGCAACTTCTGTGATTCAGCCTATTTTTCGATTGGGTGTCCAGGTTTCAGCCCCCTGTTCTCCTGCCATGTTTCCTTAATAGGCCCAAACGGTTTTGGCTCCTCCATGAGACTTGCCTTGGATAGCTGCAGGGCTGCAGGACCACTTCTCCAAAACAAGGTATGATTTATTTTATCCACAGGAACATAGAAATTAGTGAGGAAAGGTTAAAGGTAACCAAAGGGCTATATGAATATTTGTCTTCACCTAGCACCTTGGATATGCCTAGCTTCTCCCAACCCCCCAGCTCACCCCCTTGTCCCAGAAGCCCCAGCCTGGTCAGAGGTTATTTCCTAGGTCTTGATGTCCATTTGTCACCATAACAGTAGGTGACTTGCAGTTACCTAAAACCATTGTCTGCCTTCCAATAGCTGTAGAAAACCACTAGGATTTCAGTTTACTTTCTGATTCCAGCAATCAGTAGCCTATAATCCAAGAAACAAAGGTACACATACCATTTATGAAAATAAATGAATATTTCCCAGCATTTTTCACAATCAGGTCATAACTTCAACAGCTGCTGCCTCTGTTCACTAGATGACATATTTCAGTCTCCAGAGCTGTCAGTCTAGGAGTTTCCATCAGCACTTCAGTATTAAAAATATAGGAGTAAAGTCCTTTTTCCATGAAGAACAATGTTTCTTAGTCCTGATTGGGATTTCTGTTACAACTACAATCAGAATATTAATAGGACTTTTTACATTTAATTTACAGGTAAACAATCTGGCACTGTTGTCCAGAAATCTTGCACTATTGTCTGTGCAGTCGGACAAATTTGCTCAAAAGCTGTACCAAGAAAAGCTGCTGTATAATGGCATCTTCAGAACTATTCT